CTTGAGGAGGAAAGGAAGGAGAGGAAGGGGAGAAAGAGGAGAGAAAGGGAGAAAAAGAAGAGGACATTGAGAAATTGCAAAAATGTGGAACCAACCCAAATGCCCATCAATCAACAAGTGGGATAAAGAAAACTGTATGCCGGACATGGTGGCTTACACTGTAATCCCAGCACCCTGGAGCCGAGGGGCGGGCAGATCCTTGAGGTCAGGGTTTGGACCCAGCCTGGCCAAGATGGTGAAACCCCATCTCTACTAAAAATGCAAAAATTAGCCAGGTGTAGTGGCACATGCCTGTTAATCCCAACTACTAGGAGGCCAAGGCAGGAGAATCACTTGAACCCAGGGAAGCAGAGGGTTTCAGTGAGCTGAAATCGTGGGCATTGCATTCAGCCTGGTTGACGAAGCTTAGACTCCATCCAAAAAAAAAAAAAAAGGAAAACTGTGATTATACATAATAACTATATATATATATATACACACACACACACATACATGCACACACACACACACATATACATACATGCATGACAAACACTACTCAGCCATAAAAAAGAATGAATTAATGGCATTTGGCAACAACCTGGATGAGACTGAAGACGCATTATTCTAAGTGAAATTAACTCAGCGAATGGGAAAACCAAACCTTATATGGTCTCACTCATAAAGGGAGCTAAACTATGAGGGATGCAAAGGCATAAGAATGACACAATAGATTCAAGCAATCCCAAGGCTTAGGCCTCCACAGCGCTGGGGTTTACAGGCATGAAGCCACCATTGACCGGTCTATTCCTTTTTTTTTTACCCACCGTTACTTGCACATGTTCCAGATCCTGGGCTGAGTTCCGCAGAGGTATAAGATTAATAAGCTCTCCCACCCTCCAATTGGCTTTCTGGGATCAATAATAATGATGGCTGTTTATCAAAAGATAATCTTTTTGAAAATGTTTTAATGGAAATTTTTCTCTTTGTCCACCGTATATGGATTGCTTGACTACCCCCAACCCATTCTGAGAAAGGATTTCATCTCATTTAGGAGAACTGGAGATGCTTTTAGCACCAGACACACAATGAGAGCAAAACGTAAATGTTTACTCTTTAATTACCAAATTGGTTGATTGAGTTCTCAGAAAGCAAAGACGTGAATGGTGAAAAAGATATCTTAAAAGTCCCTTTAAAATTTCAGAGCCAGCTGGAACAGTGGCTCATGCCTGTCAATCCCAACAATTTGGGAGGCTGAGGTGAGAGGATTGTTTGAGGCCCAGAAGTTTGAGACTAGGCTAGGCGAACATAGCAAGACCCCATCTCTACTATTTTAAAAAATCAAGAAAGGTTAGTCGAGTCTGGTGGTGCGTGCTGTAGTCCCAGTACTCGGGAAGCTGAGGCGGGAGATCGCTAGGCCTGGGGGTTCGAGGCAGAAGTCAGCCATGGTACGCACCACTGCGCTCCAGCCTGGGTGTTGAGGACTGCAGCATCAAACCCCCAGGCTCAAGCAAGTCCTCCCGCCTCAGCTTCCAAGTAGCTGGGACTACAGGCACGCACCACCACACTCAACTAATAATATATAAAATATGTTTTATATATTAATCATGTATTATATTATACATTTAATTATTAATATATAATATGTTATATATTATTAATATATGGAATACGTATTAATATGTATTTTAATAATACAATACATTATATTATTAATTGTATATATATATTATATAAATCGATTTATTATTATATAATATATAATATTTTTATATTATCATATATGTTATATTATATAATACATTATATATTATTCCTTTTTTTTTTTTTTTTTTTTTTTGAGACGGAGTCTCCACTCTGTGCACCCAGGCTGGAGTGCAGTGGCAGGATCTCAGGCTCACTGGCAAGCTCCGCCTCCGGGGTTCACGCCATTCTCCTGCCTCAGCCTCCCAAGTAGCTGGAACTACAGCGCCGCGCCACGGCGCCCGGCTAGTTTTTCGTATTCTTTTAGTAGAGACGAGTTTCACCGTGTTAGCCCAGAGGATGGTCTCGATCTCCTGACCTCGTGATCCGCCCGTCTCGGCCTCCCAAAGTGCTGGGATTACAGGCTTGAGCCACCGCGCCCGGCCTATATTATTCTTATAATATATATTTTATATATAAAATTCTCCTGCTTCAGCCTCCTGAGTAGCTGGGATTGCAGGCATGTGCCATCATGCCCAGCTAATTTTTGCGTTTTTAGTAGAGATGGGGGTTTCAGCATATTGGCCAGGCTGGTCTTGAACTCCTGGCCTCAAGTGATCTGCCTGGCTCGGCCTCCCAAAGCGCTGAAATTATAGCGTGAGCCAGTGTGCCCTGCCTACAGTTTCTTTATCCACTTGTTGACTGATGGGCATTTGGGTTGGTTCCACATTTTTACAATTTCTCGATGCCCTCTTCTTTTCGCTCCCTTTCCTCCTCCTCTTCCTCCTCCTCCTCTCCTTGCTTTTATTTTATTTTTAAAATATATTTTATATATAAACAATATATAAAACATATATATTATATTTATAAAACATATTAAATATATTTATATATTAATAAAATATATCTTATATACTAATAATATATAATGTATGCATTTAATATATATTAATATGTAGTGGATATATTTTATATATTTAAATATATATTAATATTTAAAAATATATACTACATTATATATACACACACTATATCTATCTATCTATCTATCTATCTATCTATCTATCTATCTATCTCAGGTGGTTTCCAAAACTACCTCTTTGAAGTTAAGTTTCACAACATCCCTATTGTTATCTGTATTTCATAGCTTGGGAAACTGAAGTTCAGGGAGGTTAGGTGACTTATCTGAGATCACACAGCTATTCTAAGTACAAAGGAAAGATCCTGAAGTGAGAATCAGGAGACCTGCATATTAACCCTTGCTCTGCCACTAACTAGCTCCCAGCAAGCATCTGGATGAGGCTCAGCTTCCTGGGATATTTCCTGGGGAGAAAACATTCTCTACCCCTTCCGGTATCTGCATTCTCTCTGGCCAACTTACCCTTCGTCGTTGGTTTCAGTGTGGGTCCTGTGTGCCTTTCCCAGCTGTGCATAACACAACATCCTGTGAAGAGAGAAAAGAAAATCACCATGAACCACCAAAAGAAAACCTTTTGGGCTCAATCTGCAAAATTACTCCTGGCTTGCCCCACGGAAACAGGTTTGAAGAGGCTAGATGACAAACTTAGTTAAGGAACAAACATACACTATTTTGCATAAGCTTAACAATGACCGTTCCTGGTTTTCTGCACTTTGTTTTTGCTTTTCATTTTGTCTGTCTTTATCTTCTTTTTCTTTTTGATTAAATAGTTCCAGGCTAAGCACTATGGTGCACACCTGTAATCCCAGCACTTCGGGAGGCCAAGGTGGGTAAATTCCTTGAGACCAGGAGTTCAAGACCAGCCTGGACAATATGGCAAAACTCTATCTCTACAAAAAATACAAAAACTATCTGGGCATAGTGGCACATGCCTATAGCCCCAGCTACTCAGGAGGCCAAGCTGGGAGGATCACTTGAGACCAGCAGTTTGAGACCAGCCTGGGCAACACAGTGAGACTTCGTCTCTACAAAAAAAAAAACTTTTTTAATTAGCTGGGTGGCGGTGACTCCTTGTAGTCCCAGCTACTCAGGATGCTGAGGTGGGAGGATTGCTTGAGCCCAGGAGATTGAGACTGCAGTGAACCAAGATCATGCCACTACTCTCCAGCCTAGGTGACCCTGTCTCTAAAAAAAAAAAAAAGTTCCAGTTGATTTTCTAAAGCATACATTAAAGCATGCATTCTCAAAAGGGGTGATATCTCCCCCAAAGGACTCAAACTTGGTTCTCAGGAAGAGATTTTTTTAAGCTCACTCTTTTATGTATAAGATACATATGTATATACAGAAAATACATATATAGATATACAGTGTGTCTATAGTATTAAAATTTCGTGACAGGGTAGGGCAGTTCATTTTTCTTTTCTTTTCCTTTCTTTTCTTTTTTTCTTTTTTTTTTTGAGATGGAGTCTCGCTCTGTCACCAGGCTGGAGTGCAGGGGTGGGATCTAGGCTCACTGCAACCTCCAACTCCCTGGTTCAAGCTATTCTCCTGCCTCAGCCTCCCGAGTAGCTGGGATTACAGGCACGCGCCACCACGTCCAGCTAATTTTTGTATTTTTAGTAGAGACAGGGTTTCACTATGTTGGACAGGATGGTCTCGATCTCCTGACCTCATGATCCGCCTGCCTTAGCCTCCTAAACTGCTGGGATTACAAGCGCAAGCCACCGCACCCAGCCCATTTTTTAATGTTTAAAGGCAATGCAGCCCTGCAGCATTTAGATCTCCTGCACCATCATCATTATCTCCATCATTATCACTGTCATCATCACCATCATCATCTTCATCATCACCATCATCATCATCACCATTATCATCATCACCATCAACATTATCACCATCATCACCACCATCATCACCATCATCACCATCTTCATGGTCATTATCACACCATCATCACCATCATCATCTTCATTATCCCTATCATCACCATCCTCGTCATCATCATCATCACCATCACCATAATCATTACCATCTTCATCATCACTATTATCACCACCACCATCATGATCATCACCATCATTATCATCACTATCATCATCACAACTCTTTGCTGATTAGCTTCAGGGCAGAATAAGGAGTGTTAACAGTTAATACCATTGCCAACACCCCAAAATAATAACTCTACATTCCTACATTTGATGCCCACAGGCCACCTATTTCTTCTAATGTAGCCTGCCGGTCAACAGGTCCCACAGATCCAAACTCCCAAATTCTATCTATTATTACTAACAAAAATTATTCTGCTCATTCATTAATTATTTTAGAGGCAATTCAGCATACTGTTTAGGCATACAACGTCTGGAGTCAAAATGCTTGGGTTTAAAAATCTGGCTTCACCAATTAATGATTGTGTGGCCTTGAGGAAGTTATTTAATCTCTTTGTGCCTCAGTTTCCTCCTTGTTAAAATAGGGGATTCAGATCCACTGTACAACAGCAGAGGAAACCCATACTTGTTACTTAGAATATGTCCCCGATATCCTCCATTCTTAAATGTGATCCAATGACCAAAATACACAAGACATAGAAGAAAAACCAGAAACATGGAAGATAAACAAGGTTGAGACAAACTGACACCTGAAGAAAGAGAAATAAGAGCACAGGAAGGGTCTATCTCATTGTTCAGGACTCAGCTCGAATTGCCCCTCCTCAACCCCAGACTTCTCCCTTCAACATAACCCCCAACCACATTCTGTAACAACTTCTTTCATAGCACTTATCACTACCTGAAATTCCTATGTTTACTTATAATTTGGGGCAACATAGTGTAATGGAAAAGCTTACCGACTCTGCAGTCAGACTGCCTGGCTTGAAATCCTGCCTCTACCCCTTATTGACTAAGCGGCCTTGGGAAAATTATTTTATCTCCTTTGCCTCAGTTTTCTCATCTGCAAAATAGGACTAATAATAACCCAATGTCATAGGAATGTTGTGACAATTGGATACATTCTATGTTTAAAGAAGTTACAGCAGTGCTAAGTGGACTATGATCGTTTGTGCCTTCTTTCCCGTCTGCTCCTACCCACTAGAATATCAGCCTCAAGAGTGCAGGAACTTAGTCTTTTTTTCTCACTGCTATATCCTCTAGTGCCTAGAACAGCACCTAAGACACAGGAAGTGCTCAGGAAACACAGGTCAAATGAATGACTATTGAGAAAAATCTAATCTGACAGATGGACTTCCCTGGGCAATGGAATTTTGTCAAAGGTTCCCCGAATGAAGGTGTTTGCAGTATCCAGCCTGGACTTATGATCTCTTGGCTGGACCATCCATGGCCCTCCCATTTCCCCTGAAGCCTATTTCCAACCCAGGCCTCCCCTAGCCCCCCATTCAACCTCACACTTACCCCAGAAGAGGAGCAGGTTGAAGCCACGCATTATGCTGTGGTTCTGTCATTCAAAGAGAAGAAGCTTTTCTACACCCTGGGTTTTCGGTAACCAGAAGGTGTAGGAAGAGGAGAAGGCGGAGTCAGAGTTGCTCAATGCTGCCCGGTCATCACAGCCCTTTTTGCTGAGTTGCAGACAGCCTAGAAAATCCTAATTCCCCCACTTTCTCTGCAATAAAGAGAAGTTAATCTGCCTAATGCGTACCATTCTCTCTCTTTCCTTCCCACCATCTCTCCCTTTTTCCTTCCCATCAACATCTATCTCCCATCTCTCAACACCTTCTTTCATTGCACCCAATAAAGGAGCTTCCACTTCCTGCCTCCAGTGAAGCAAATCTCAGCCTTTAGGATCTCTTCCCAGTCTCCCGTATAACAGCCATCACAACCATCATGTACCAGGCACTGTGCTAGGCACATTGACAACAAAGTGTAATTTCATTATCATGTCAACCTCGTAAAGTAGGAATTCCCCTCCCTCCCTCCATTCACCAACAAAATGGAAACTGAGACTTGCAGAGGAGCTATAACTTGTCCAAGATCTCTCAAACCTGAGATTTGAACCCAGGACCCTCTGACTCCAGAGTCAAGAGCTTTAACTATCTTATTTTCCTTCAGATCTCAACTCTGTCTAACCACTATACAGCAACACTTCCACCCCATTCCCAGCTTCCTAACTCTCTCTGGTAACATCTTAGGGTCTCACAAGGGCAGATCCTCAGACAAGGATTCTAGCAAAAATAGTTTATCAAGAAGGTGACCCCAGAAAACGCTAGCTGGAGAAGGAGAAAGTGGAACAGGAAAGGCAAAGAGCCAATACCGGGTGTGTCTTCAAACAAGTTACATGGTGAGAAAGTGGAACTTAACCTCCCCAGGTACATCTGGGAAGTGGCATGGAACATACCCTTCAGTTATTCCAACCGAGGGGTGAGGGAGCTGAGGTATTTATATCCCACCTACTGTCAGTCATGGGTTGACTTGAGGCTTGCTCCTAGGGGGTGTCAACCCCTTGAAACTTCAGGCCTGGCCTCCAAGCAGATAGAATGTGCTGCAGTTGATATAATCCTACTGCTAACAAATTGCAGTGACTGGCAGATATTGAAGTAGTATCATCCATCTGGGGTAATACCCAAGGTTCATTGCCTCACACCAAGGAAATAAAAAATGCAGACACGGCCAGGCGCCATGGCTCACACCTGTAATCCCAGCACTTTGGGAGGCTTAGGAGGATGGATCACAAGATCAGGAGTTCAGGACCAGCCTGGCCAAGATGGTGAAATCCTGTTTCTACTAAAAATACAAAAAATTAGCCAGCAGGTGTGGTGTCAAGCGCTTGTAATCCCAGCCACTCCAGAGGCTGAGACAGAGAATTGCTTGAATCCAGGAGGCAGAGGCTGCAGTGAGCTGAGACAGTGCCACTGCACTCCAGCCTGGGCAACAGAGTGAGATTCCATCTCAAAATAAAATAAAATAAAATAAAATAAAATAAAAAATGCAGACACAAAAAATGAGTTTTAGAGCAAAGGTTTAGGCCGGGCACAGTGGCTTATGCCTGTAATCCCAGCACTTTGGGAGGCCAAGATGGGTGGATCACCTAAGATCAGGAGTTCGAGACCAGCCTGGGCAACATGGTGAAACCCCATCTCCACTAAAAATACAAAAAAATTAGGCAGGCATGGGGGCACATGCCTGTAGTGTCCCAGCTACTCAGGAGGCTGAGGCAGGAGAATCACTTGAACCTGGGAGGCGGAGGTTGCAGTAAGCAGAGATGATGCCATTGCACTCCAGCCTGGGCGACAGAGCAAGACTCTGTCTCAAAAATAAATAAATATATCAATAAATAAATAAATAAAGTGTCTAACTTCACAGGGTTTGAGGGTTAAGGTGATACAATAATAAAACCTTGCCTGGGACAGATTAAATGATTAAATACTATTAGTTATATTGGCATGATTATTTTTCCACCATACTAAATGGTCGCAGCTACTCCTAGAAAAAAATCCTGGCCGGGCGCGGTGGCTCAAGCCTGTAATCCCAGCACTTTGGGAGGCCGAGACGGGTGGATCACGAGGTCAGGAGATCGAGACCATCCTGGCTAACATGGTGAAACCCCGTCTCTACTAAAAAATACAAAAAACTAGCCAGGCGATGTGGCGGACGCCTGTAGTCCCAGCTACTCGGGAGGCTGAGGCAGGAGAATGGCGTGAACCCGGGAGGCGGAGCTTGCAGTGAGCTGAGATCCGGCCACTGCACTCCAGCCTGGGCGACAGAGCGAGACTCCATCTCAAAAAAAAAAAAAAAAAAATCCTGATACCAGCAAAACTTGAATTGGAGAAGCCAGCAAATTTCATATCAGACAGAACCTTGTAACGTGGGTGAAAGAGTTTAGGCTTTACCCTCGGGGCAATAAAAGGGGGTTCAGCAAGGGAGCCACAGGCTCAGGTTGGAATTTTACGCCTGTGTTTTGTAGGTGGGTGTTGGACAGGATGGGCTCACAGATAAACAGACAGGGAGGAGGCTGGGGATATAGCCAGGAAAGAGAGAAGAGGGCAGTGGCCTGGTCTGGGGCAGGGACTGTAGTGACAGAGAAGAATTTAGGAGACAGGAACAACCGAATTTGGGGACTGTCTGGATGTAGCAGGGGAGTTTGAGACAGAAGAAGGAGTTGACATTTGCAGGCTGGGCTAAAGAGTTGGAAGGTTTTGCAAGCAAGCCCAGATCCCTCCTGGGGATGGGGATGGGATGAGGTTTACCATGGACCTGGCAGCTTGGGGAAAACATAAAGTATACGATTGATCCGGAGGTCAGAGTCCTCTCGAGTCTTATGGGACTGAAACCAAGATACCAGCAGGGCTGCACTCCTTCCCGAGGTTCCAGGGCAGAATCTGTTCCTTGTCTTTTCCGGCTTCTGGAGGCAACCCGCATGCCCTGGCTCACGGTCCCTTCCTTCCCATGCAAAGCCAGCAGCTAGCAGCTTCAAATGTCTCTTGCGTACTCTAAATCTCTCGTTCTTGTTCTCTCTCATATTCCCTCCCTCTTGCTCTCTCATTCTCTCTCTCGCTCTCCCTCTCTCTTTTTCTCTGTCTGTCTCTCTCTAGTTCTCTCTCTTGCTTATTCTCTCACTTTTCCCTCCCTCTGGCTCTTTCATTCTCCCTTTTTTTCTTCTTTTTTTTTTTTTTGAGACAGAGTCTCACTCTGTCACCCAGGCTGGAGTGCAGTGGTACAATCTCGGCTCACTGCAACCTCCTCCTGTAGGGTTCAAGCGATTCTCCTGCCTCAGCCTCCCGAGTATAGCTGGGATTACAGGCATCTGCCACCATGCCTGGCTAACTTTTGTATTTTTAGAAGAGGTGGGGTTTCATTCACCATATTGGCCAGGCTGGCCTCGATCTTCTGACCTCAGGTGATCCACCTGCCTCGGCCTCCCAAAGTGCTGGGATTACAGGTGTGAGCCACCACACCCGGCCCAGTGTCTCTGTCTTGTTCTCTCTTGTTGCTCTTGTTCTCTCTCTCTCTCTCTGTATATCTCTCTCTCTCCATCTCTATCTTTCCATCTGTCTCTCTCTGATCCTCCTGTCTCCTTCTCATAAGAATTCTCGTAATGACATTGGGCGGAGGTTGCAGTGAGCCGAGATCGTGCCATTGCACTCCAGCCTGGGCAGCAGAGTAAGACTCTGTCCCCCAGCCCCTCCAAAAAAAAATAGTCCTTAACTGAATCCCATCTGCAAAAGTCCCTTTTGTCACAGAAGGGAACACATCCATGGATTTTAGGTATTAGGCTGTGGCTGCCTCGTGGAGGGAGAGGAGGCCCCTTTATCCCACCTACCACAGGCGGGGTCTCAGGTCCTGGTGAGAACCTGAAGACCCAAGACTCCAGACACCCTTCAAACCTGCAGAGGTGACCGAGGTTATAAAGAGCGTCCTGCAGCGGCCCTGCAGGGTTGCGGGTGGGGGTGTGAGAATGAGAAGAGGAAGGATATGGAAGAGGAAATCAACAATTCTGGCCAAGCAGCTTACAAAGTCTAACCCCTAACGACTTCCCCAGCAAAGGGGAATACAAGGGACTCTCAAGATTGAAGAAATAAGCCTGGGGAGTTGTAGGAACATCACTTACTGCCACACAGAGTGCAGGGAAGGGACAGGGAAGCTGGGGAATCCCTGCCTAACCTGTCCATGCCCTGCTTAGAGTCTAAACCCTTCCATGGCTCCCTATTGCCCTCAGGATGAAGTTCAGGCTTATTAATACGTCACTCAAGGCTCAACTTAGTCTGACTCTGGTCACCCCCTAAAGCTCCAGTGATGAGCTAGACACAGTGGCTTGTGCCTGTCATCCCAACCCTTTGAGAAATCAAGGTGGTAGGATCACTTGAACCCAGGAGTTCAAGGTCAGCCTGGGCAACATACTGAGATCCTGTCTCTACAGAAAAAAAAAAAAATATTTTTTAATTAGCTAGGCATAGTGGCTGGTGCACACCTGTGGTCCCAGCTACTCAGGAGGCTGAGGTGGGAGGATCTTTTGAGTCCAGGAGTTCAAGGCCAGCTTGAGCAACATGGCAAAATCCCATCTCTGGAAAAGAAAATTTTTAATAAGCCAGGCATAGTGGTGCATGCCTGCAGTCCCAGCTACTCGGGAGGATTGCTTGAGCCCAGGAGGTCAAGGTCACAGTGAGCCATGATGGCACCTCTACACTCCAGCCTGGGCAACAGAGTGAGACCCTGTCTCAAAACAACAACAACAACAAAAAGCCCCCCAGTGATTATAAAATACTTGAAGCCCCTGTTGTGGGTGCAGTCAACGCTCTGCCCGCTGGCCTTTCCCGGGTTGGTGCACCCATCCCAGGGCTGCTGTGAGTGAGTGCTGCCTACAGTAGCTCATAGCTCACAGCTTCCCCCTTCTCCTCAGCTGTGCAAACCCTCAGACCCAGCCCACAGCCATAACGGATGGTCACAGAAGTGCAGAAGGCCAGCCCCATGCCCCCAGGGTGAGATCAACCTGGTGGCACCAATCACACTCCGGGGCTCCCCATGGGCTCCAGCTAAGGCTGGACTCCAGCTGAGACCACTTCCTTGCTTAGTTCTTTCCCTTGC